GAAAAGAAGAAAGTATGTGGTTAAAAATACAAATATCAGCCAGGGAGATGGCTCAGTAGAGTAGGTGCTTCCCTGGCAAGTACAAGGGCCTGAGTTCAATCCCTGGTTCTGCAAAAAATAAAAATAAAAAATATAAATATCTCTGCATGATGAAAAAGTCCAGAGTTGTTCACAACGGAAGAGATAAATCCATGTCATGATTGAGAGAACAAAAACCATAAAAGGCACAAGTTATGTTATAATGTACAGTATGATGCAATTGGTGTAAATAATGAAGATAATGCAACTGTTGAATAAATGAATAGTGAATAAATCCGAATGAAAAAAATCTATTGGATCAACCTGAAACTCTAACGTATGACTGGATTAAGATCATGAAAATATTCTCACTTTTTGTGGTGGGATTTTTAGCATATTTGGATTTTTTCCATATGCCTGTTACTGTTGCAGACCTTGAAAATTATAATTGTGACCCAAACCACAAACCAATGACTGGCTGTGAGCAAGACAGAGGGAAGACATGGAGCAGACCCCTGAGAGTGGGTCCCTCGCCTCAGGAGCAGATGATCAGATTCTTTCTGCCCAGGGGCCACCAAAGCCTGGGGGACACTGAAGGGGTCTTGGGAGGGAAGTTGGGTACTCCCGAGGCTACACGTAGGAGACAACTTCATCTCTGCTGCCATCCTCATCGGCCTTGTTCCTTACTAGTCTGACAGTTCCACCCTGCCTCTGTCCCTGCTTTTATAGAAAACTTTTCTGGGGCAGGAGGGCACCAAGAATGCAACTCAGGACCTTGCACTGGCCGGGCAGGTACTGTGCCACTGAGCTATATCTCCGGCTCTTGGCTGTACTTTTAAACAAATCCTTCAGTTAGAGAAAAAAAGAGAGGAAGCACACGGGAGGGTAGGAGAAAAGAAGAAAGGAGAGGAAGAGGGGAGAGGTACAGAGCAAAGAGAGAGGTGAGAAATGCAGCGTCCCTGCATCTCGATGGCCCCAGGAAGTATGACGAGAAACTGTGCTTCAGCTCTCTGTCAAGAGTCACCATGGAGACGGAGCACTGGTCTCCTCGTGATTAATACTCTCAGGCAGCTGTCTTCTTGGAGTCTTTTTAAATATATACAGTATTATTTGAACACAATGATATGTACAGCAGAAAGATCAAGGTGGGGCATGAGAGAGAGAACTGGAGCATTAAGGGAGCTATCACGGGGGCTGGGCCTCTCCCAGGAGGTGCAAGGAGGGCTCACTTTCCTGCTCTCCTCTTCCCTCACTACCCCGCCTCACCCCTGGATGTGGAGCTTCCAATCCTTGGCTCTGTGACATCTGAAGGGCCTCAGCAGCACCTGGCACAGGGCTGCTGCACTCAATGAACATTTGGTGAATGAATTCATTCATTCATTAATTCATTCAGCAAGTGTTTATTCAATGCTTGTCTAGAAAGTTAACTCTCCTTCCCTCGTCTGTCTTCATGAAAATATAAAATTCCTTCTCATTCTCCCCAAAGCCACACACACACACATACACACACACACACACACACACACACACACACACCACCACCACCACCAACAACAACAACAACAACAACAACCTCCACAATAGTTCCTAAGGACATGTCCCCTCTGCATGGCACTCATTCCAGGGAAATCTTACAAGAATAGGTGCTGGCCAGATGGAGTCCACATATCCCATTCTGCTTGAAAAGCTATAGGTAGATCCTCCATCTAAAGCACTCTCTCGGGGGCTGGGGAGATGGTTCAGTGGAATAAGCGCTTCCATGGGG